TGTCTGTGGCTCCTCTGGCCTCTCTCCAACAGCTCCAGGTCCTTCTGATGTTGGAGGCTCCAGAACTGGCCCCAGTTCTCCAGGGGGGGGGTCTCACCAGAGCAGAGCAGAGGGGACAATCCCCTTCCTGGCCCTGCTGGTGACACAGCCCAGGTCCTTTTGGTCCTTTGGTCCCTCTGCCCACCCTGCCCCTCACCTGGGCAAGGGCTGGTGATGCCCCCAACCCACAGGAGGTCAGGGCTGCCACAGCCAGGCTGTTCATCACCACCTGGTGCATCTGGGAGTTCTGGATCATCATCAGCTCCATCAGACCTGTGGAGCAGGAGGTTCTGAGTCAGAGATCAGAGCAAGGCCAGGAGAAACACCAGGGTGGGATCTGTGCCTGGGATGGGGTGGCAAGAGGCTCATCCATGTGTGCAGGCAGTGGGACCCCAGCCAGGCTTCCCCACCCCAGGCTGGGAGGAGCAGTTACAAGCTCTTCTGGCTTGGCTGAAGCTCCTCCAAGAGCCTTTTTTCTTCTTCTTTGCAAATGTGATGCACCAGCTGCTCTGGCTGCTCCTCCCAGGTGGTTGGTGCTGCTGGAGGCACCAAACCTCCCACCCACCTGCAGGAGGATTGTCCTGGTGCTGGGGGGGCTCCAGGCCTTGGGGGGCAGGGGGAGAGTCCTCGGGGGACACACCAGGGGTGGCACCAACACACACACAGGAGCTGCTGAGAAACCTCCTGGGGAGGCAGGAGCTGGGGCTGGACCAGGGGGGCAGATCCCACCCCCATTCCCAGGAGATGAAACCCCCCCAAGGAAGCAGAGGCTGGACCATGGGGGCTGATCCCACCCCCATTCCCAGGAGCAGAAACCTCCTGAGGAGGCAGGAACTGGACCATAGTTGATCCAACCTCCATTCCCAGGAGAAGAAACCCCCCCAGGGAAGCAGGAGCTGGTCCATGGGGCTGATCCCACCTCCATCCCCAGGAGGAAAAATCCCACAAGGAGGCAGGAGCTGGAGCTGGACCACAGGAGCTGATCCCACCCCCATTCCCAGGAGGACAACCCCCCCAGGAGGCAGGAGCTGGTCCATGGGGGCAGGTCCCACCTCCATCCCCAGGAACCAGCCCCCCTGGAGCTGCATCCCAGATGCCCAGGGCCTCCCCAGCCCCTGCAGGGCTTGGCATGAGGACCTGGCCCCAGAGTGACCCTGGATCAACATCCCTGATCCCCAGGATGATGCCCAAGCTGTGGTGGAGCTGCTGGGAGGAGGAGGAGGAGGAGGAGGAGGAGGAGGAGGAGGAGGTGGGATCTCCACTGAGATGGACAAAGCACGTCCCCCCTGCCTGCCCCCCACCCCAAGCACAGCTGGGAGAGCAAGAAGATGAAAGTCCAGGTGGTTGGAAGGCTCGACCATCACCCACCTCCCCGGGGGTCTGGGGGTCCGGGCTGGGGGGCCAGGGCAGCCCCAGGGAGCTGCTGGAGGATCAGCACTGGCTGCTGGGGAACTGGGACGGCCCCGTGGGGAGATGGTGTTTCCAGTGGGAGCTGCAAGGGAAGGAAA